AGAATATGTATGATCCTCAGGGATAGAAAGAGGGCCTGAAGGCATATGATGCAGCCTTCTTGCTGGAAAGAGGGCCTGAAGGCATATGATGCAGCCTTCTTGCTGCAGTGGTTCTGAGGTAATAGAGATTCTATGTGGGAGCCTACTATAACATCTTGTTTTTTCGTTTGGCAAGACATAAAGGAATATAAACAAATCAAATAAGGCTGACATTTACCCATGGCAGATAGTGGTTGGTGATAGTATCAGGCATCTGGCAAGTTCTAAAACGTAAGGACCATGACAGAAGATCTCCTTAGCACGTAAGAAATCTCAGCAGCATCTCTGCTTAAAAAGAAACTATTCTATGCCTGTAAATCTGGAGGCTACAATCTCTTAAGCAAGCAGAGAGCTTGCCTAAAAGAATAAATAATCTGATTGGATCCAAAGCAACTTTCTAAAACACATCCATACTCTTCTAGAGACAAAGTGGGGATATTGTGATTTCCCAGTCTTGTTTAATTACAATTTGGAGAAGCTCCTATCACCATGGCCAGTAGCAAAGGATCCCAAATGTATTTCCACAAGGGGTCCTTGGTGCTCTCTGAGCTTGATTGTTTTCTTGAAGACATTTCATTACCCAAATTAGGTAACATCATCAGTGCTAGTGATGATAACTAGCACTAATGATGTTACCTAGTTTTGGTAATGAAACATCTCTGCAAGAAAAGGAGCTCAGAAAGCACCAAAGACCCCTTATTTCAACCCTGAGCTACAAATATTCTCTTTTATTTGTTGTATTTCAACATTTGCAAGGTCTTCTAAAGAACATGATTAGTACCGGTATGATTCATTATCATGTACTTCAGGTGTGGTATTTGTCATTATGTGAAACAGGTCAGAGCTTAAACAGACAAACAAGAATCACAACTTTTTAACACTACTAAAAAGGGTGATCTACAGATCGTCTTTGACTAGCAATTCATTTGACCATTCAGAGTTACAACAGAACTGATAAAAGTGACAGTTTTTACAATTACAACTATTGCAGCATCCCCATGGTCACATGATCAAAATTCACATGCTTGGCAACTAACTCATATTTATGATGGTTGCCATGTCCTGATCATGATCACCTTTCTCAATCTTCTAACTAGCGAAGTCAATGGGGAAGCCAGGTTCACTTAACAACCGTGTTANCCACATAAATCTTTGAAGCACAAAAGTTCATATTACAGTCTCAATTATATGTATTCAAACATTCTCAAACTATTTACTGGAAGTACAATGAATCAATTTGCATGAAGCATAGAAGGTTCTGCCAATGGACCTGGGGACAACCCCTCCCAGGGATATGGAACCCATCAAGTGGCTGGTCTGATTGTTATTACCAGGATATGGGGATGTATTGTTTTTTTGTTTTTTTTTTTTGTTTACTGGGGTTTTATCTTCATGAGCTCACTGTAAATAAATTGGGTGGCCACCTAAATTTTCTAAATTAATAAACAAGCCTCCACTTCAGGAAGAGAGGGGGACCCTGACTTAAATGGCTTTAAAAAAGGAATAAGCTTCTCAATGTTTACTGGACATTAAACCAGAAACATCTTGCCTTTTAGTACCAATCTATGGGAAATATGGGTAGAATGGGACTAAATGCTTAAATCCTGCTATTGACTGGCCACTGTGAGACAAAAAGTAAAGATTAGTTTTAGCCCTTTCACAGTCAATGTTTTCTAAAGCACTGGAGCCTCAACATTTATTGTTATGCTGCCTAGGGAATTATGGAAGTTGGGGGTTTAATAGACCCACCCAGATTAGAGAAGGCAGAATAAGACAGACTTTGTATACGATGAGGCAGAATTCTTTTTAATGAATTGTATTTGATGCTTCTCAGATGTGCAGTCATTAAGGAAGTGAGTCATGGACTGCATAACCGTTTCCCAAGTATACTTTGGCTAAATCTTTTTTGATCCTAGTAGCATCATGACTGTGAATGCCTTCATTTAAAGCATTCTGACACAATAAATACTAGGTTAATTCTCTGAGTGATATCACTTAGGGGCCCATAGCATTACATACAAACAAACTGCAAGGATCAGTGGCAATTCATAGTTTTGGATGCAAAAGCGATAGTTTAGGATTCCCTTCTTATTTTGCTTCCCTTGCCATCACATAGATGTGTCCCAAGGAGGGGAGAGACACATTCTTCCTAGTCTCCTATGCTCTCAAAATATTCAGTCATTCTTTGCAAATGTTTCAGTTCAAAGGACTTATTTCAAGGCAGAAAGCAATGGTCTGCAATAAACAGACAGGATGCCTCCCTACCAAATTAGATGATGCCATTATTCACCAATCAGAGGCAGCAGTTCTGGTTGCCCATTCACCAATGAGAACTAACAGGCAACTCAAAAGTCAGCCCAGGCATCGGGCAGTGCAAACAGCTACGTTTTTTCCCCACTGTAAGGCCAGAGTTGGATGGTCATATTAACAGAGCTGTTTGTAATGTCTTTTAGCTGTGCAGAGAAAACAAGAGGGGAAGGAAGCAGGTTCATTCTGAAAGCTCCATAGCAAGGCAGCAAATGAGGTGATTAGTGGAAGCTGCTGTAGTGAGATCTCTCAACAAACAGAACCTTTGAATAATTCAACATGTGCAAGTGAGCATAAAAACAACTAAAGCTTTAGACTTTAAACTGGATTTATTTTTAAGTCCACACTTGAAGATGAACTTATTTTTTTCCCCTTCAACACAACCCTTGTCTGGTTCTATTGATCAGAAAGGTACTCACCTGTCCAGCAGTGTCATAAAGCCCAAGAAGGTATTGCTTGCCCCCAACTGTCACACTGACTGCAAAAAGAAAGAGAGGATGAAGTGGGGAAGGGGGGATTGGCATATTTGGTCTTTTCTCTCTAGAAGAGGACAAGCAAAGGATCAATTTCAATCACTCATCACAATTCGGTAGGAAAAGGGGGGGGGGAGGACGGAATCAGGCACTGAAAATACGAAAATACACACACTGCTGGTTCTTTGATAGCATGAAAGACTACATTAACACCTTTTCAATGCCACAGCATCATCAGTAAAGATGTCCAGAGTACATGTTTCTCAGCCCCCATTAACAGGCTCAAACAAGATCAAACTACTGCAACTAATCAAAGTGCTTCTAAAGAAATATTTCTCCTAGGGTTTTTTGTCCTTATATGTCGGGTCCCACTTAGTACCACTAAAGATCTTTTCTGCTAACAAAAATAACTTTTACCACATTACTCTCTCTTCCAGGGGCTTTGTTATTGGGAAGGGTGCAGGCGGGATACTTCTGGTTCATAAGAAACCAGAGTACAGTTGAAAGATCTCATCACTTTTCCCTTTCCAACCTGCCATAGCTAACACCGTGATGCAGAGGAAGGAAGCCCTCCAAGGGAGGTGGGGGTTGGGGACGCTGTAAACAAGCCATTTTGAGGAGCTGCCACAAACTGCCCCAGGAGCAAAAGGCAATTCAAGCCATTATAAATTCCAGCTTGACGTTCCCTAACTCCGCGAACCCCCAGCTATTCTCCAAACTCGTTTGACATCTGGAAGACTCCCCAGCCGGGGGAGGCTGACTCGGGTTTTCGTTGAAGGACGGCAGATGGGAAGAAATGAGAAGAGAAAGGGGGAGAGAGGAAGACGCGGAGGGGGAGAGCAAAGTTTTTGCTGAAGTTCCTGCTTTGCTGCTTTTCCTGCTAAGGGGCGGGGGAGAACGGCCGAGACAGCCGGGGAGAAGCAGTGGGCGGCTGGGGTGGGGTGTTTCGGGAAAAGGTGATAGGGATACACTTACTCAGCACTTGCAAACAAGACACAATCCGTCTCCTCTTTACCTGCGTAATGGTCAAAGACGGTGGGCACGTATTCCTCCGGGAAGGCGTCGTTGGCATAGCTCATGAGCAGGCAAGTTTTGCCCACCGCTCCGTCGCCGATCACCACGCACTTCAACATGACTGTCGCCGCCGCCCCCGTCCCGTTGGCCATGATGAGGTTTCCGAGCCGATCGTCATTTTAGAGGGAGGGAGAGCCGAGCAGGGAAAAGGCGGGGAGGGGCCGGGGGAGAGAGAAGAAGAGGACGCGGAGAGGGAGTGGGGGGAGGCTGTTCACGCGCCGAGCCGGGAAAGGCGCCGCTCCTTCGGTGGCATTTCCAGCTCAGCCACTCCGGAGTTGGGCAGCCTTAGCAAGCAGGGCTTGGCTGGCTCGCTCGTTTCAGCAGGCGCCACAAATCACCGAAGGTGGCATTTCTTCCGTCCCTCGCCGTGGTCGAAGTCCTCCTCCTCCTCCACCACCAGTGCCGAATTTGGCTGACAGGGATTTTCCTCCCCTGCTCTCGCCCCAGTTAGGCGCGATGACACAGGCTTTCATAAGACCAGCACCAGCAGCGGGCTTGGAAGAGGAACTTAAGAGCAGCAAAACCCGCACCGAGACGGGCACCACTTTCGTCCAGCTCCTCCTCCTCCTCTCCTCTTCCCCCTCCTCTTAGAACCCAAACTGCTTCGCGTGTGCTGGGTAAGCCCTCCTCCTCCCGCCCGGCCGCCCTGCCTCCCTCCGTCGTTTTTCCGAAGGGAGGAGGAAGAGAGGAAGGCCCAGGCTCCCTTCCAGAGCGAAGGTTGGGAGTGGGATCCTGCTTTACTTTCCTTCTGCTCCCTTCCCCCTCCCTTCCCCTCCCCTCCCTTGGCTTCAGGCACCACTTTTCCAACGCGCGCAAAAGAGCAGGAAAATAGCGAGGCGGGCCCCGTCGCCTCCGCCTCGCTCGGGAGGAGAAAGGAGGAGCAAAGCCAAATACTGTACTGTAGCTACAGGAGAGTCGAGGGCTCCTCTCCAAAGAGCCCGCGGCGCCGAGAAACGTCGACGGCTCTTGCAAAAGTGCCCGCCTGGTTTGAGCGATGATGTCAACGATCAAGACATACTAACAATTGGATGTGATTCAGGGTTCCCTTCCCTCCCTCCAATTCCCACAACGGAGTATTATTTTTTTTGCACTTTTCTATTGGTAAAAACGTTTTAGAAATCGTTCTTGATTGCGAGTGAACTGCTCCTAAAATTCTTTCTTCCTATTGGTTAAGTGTGGGAGGGGAAGGGAGGGGGGTATCATGTATATTTATATGAATTTGGAAGCCCCCTTTAAAAATTGAACGCTGGGTTATAAACTATACGATCCGGAAAATATCTATCAATGTCAATTTAAAATCCTTCAGCTAGCAACATCAGCAAAATGGAATTGATGTTAGCAAAGTTGTTCTATTTTTGTATACTGTATTAACTTTTCATCTTTTATGCCAACTCAAAACATATTTATTTTCATAACAGCACTGTGATAAAATACGTCTGTGAGGTAGGTCACTGAGGAATCTTTATGGCTGAGAAAAAAAAAAATCTAACCCAGCTTTCTTCCAAAGTGATACCATCTAAGGTAGCAGGCAAGGGTAATAGTAAGTGAACACATCAATGTATAGGTATAGTATAGTAAACTACAGGTAGTCCTCTACTTACAACAGTTCATTTAGTGACTGTTTAAAGTTACAATGGCACTGAAAAAAGAGACAACCATTTTTCATACGACCGTGATCAAAATTTGGATGCTTGGCAATTGACATATATTTATGATGGTTGCAGTGTCCCGAGATCATGTGATAACTTTTTGTTACCTACTTCCAAGCAAAGTCAATGGGGAAGCCGGATTCACTTAACAACTGTTTTACTAACTTAACAGCTGCAGATTCATTTAACAACTGTGACATAAGGGGTTGAAAAATGGACCAAAATTCAGTTAACAAATATTTCACTTAGCAACACTTTTTGGTGCAATTGTGGTCATAAGTCGAGGACTATAACTAACACAATATATTAATTTCACATTGCCCCATCAGACAACAGACAATACTAGGCTATTAATGGAAGAATCCTAGATAGCAAACTCCCAGAAAATAATTCAAAACAGTAATTGAAACAGACTAAAATAAATGCAGAAGGTCGCCATTCATATGTACTAGAGATGAAAAGTTACCAAAAGACTGCTTAAAAAGAAAATATTTTTAAAAAGTTTTTTGAAAGCCAGAAGTAAGAAGGCTGAATCTGGAATCAGTGTAAAAAAACTGCCTTTCTCATATCTTACCTCATGTGGGATTGAGATCCTAAGCAGGTCCTCTCTAGATAGCCTGACAGAATGGCAGAACCCTTACAGTACACACAAGACAATGGTAACACAAAGTAACACATCTGGGAGCCCTTGGGTTGGGAAAGGCTTATTTTAATTCAAATCTCTAAGATAGGTTTCATCATTCGCCCACCATTTAAAAAAAATTAAGATTGATCCAACCTTTATATCAGGGATCTCCCAACTGCCAGGCTATAAAATGATCAACCCAGCATCAACTTGTCATCTTCATGGCTAAGAAGGAGATGGGTCTTTAAACTAGTAGTCTTTTCCAATCTTGATAACTTCCAAATAAGTTGACTTAACCTCCAAGAATTTCCCCAGACAGCATGGCTATTGCAAAAGGTTCTGGGAGTTAAAAGTCCATGCATATGAACCTTGCTAAGATTAGGAAAAACATTTCAAGACCATATTTAATCCCATTCACCTCTACTTTAACAACATTCACCTGTAGCATTCCAAAACAAAAAGAAAATGATTGTAAACATGTTTTCCCAATGTAACTCATAGATGGGTTCACCAGGCCCAATTTTTTGGTTAGTATCATGGTAAATTTTTGGTTAGTATCATGGTAAATTTTTGGTTAGTATGGTAAATTTTTGGTTAGTATCATGGTAAATTTTTGGTTAATATGGTAAATTAAGAATGTTGACTCTAAATTTGATTTGGTTTGGTTTGTATGCCGCCCTATTCCCGAGAGACTCAGGGCGGCTAGCAATAAAAAGGGGAGGGGATACAAAAAAAAACAAAAAACAGCAATTTAAAATTCAACAACAGTCGTAACTGTACATATAGAAGTAGGAAAGGTCTCTGGCCATTTTTTTCTGAATGTTGATGACATGAGACAGTGCAGTGACTAAATTTAACATACTGCAATAATATTTCTAACATCCTCTTACAGCCCAGTCCACAAATCTCTCAACTCCTTGATTTGTCTACAAATCCCTCAACTCCTTGACTTGAAGAAAATAGTGGCATTCATTAACACATGGGTTCAAGGATGGCATCAAAAATCATGACTGTGAGCATGTGCTCTTAGCTGTTTTAGCAAAAAGAAAGCATCAGATCTCTTCTTAGAAATGCTAAGACCTCGTGGAAGCAAGGACACTCCTAAAAAGAAAAATAATAAACAATCTGCCTTGCTTTAGGTTCCTGAAAAAGAACTACAGAAAAAATGACTTCACTTTTAACTAACTTATCTCAATACTTTCTTTGCTACATTCAGGCTTTCTAAAATTATCTCTTTCCTGCCCCTTTACTACCCAACAGTGTCATTCCCCATCCCAAAGGCATAGAAAAGAGTTTTTAAGCCATTAAGGAACATTAATATTCTTTGTTTAATCCCTGACCATCCATTAGTTGCCTAGCGATAGGCTGTTTCACAGTAATCAAGATGACCAAACTCATAACAGCAAACTCATGGGGTAAAGTGAATATAGTTTGCATAGTGAAGAACTGAAGTTTGTTGACTAAACTATTATATAGTTTAAATGTTGCAATGTTTAAATTTACAGTAACATTTAAATAATAATGAAGCAGAAGTAGAGGACACAACAACATACCACTAAAAAATTAACAAGGGCAAAAGAATTAAAAGTTTTAAAAGCTAAGGAAAATCAGAGAAGTAACTGGCATTGAAATTGAATTACTTGAGTTACAACTGGTCATTTAGTGACTTCGAAATTATAACAGACCCACCCCCTCCAAAAGCTACTTATGACCTGATTTTGAAGTAACAATGGCCATCCCTACACTTGCAGTCATATGATTGAATTTTGTCAACCAATTCACATTTATGGCTGCCTGCACTGTCTTGCAATCACATGACTGCAATTTTTAATGCTTTTTTAATGGTTTCTGGCATTTACTTCCAGTTTTGTTGGATAAAATGAATGAGCTTAACAACCACTGCAAAAAATGTCATAAAATCAGCTCCAGTCACAAAATGACCGGCTTAATGACTGCAACGACTAACTTCATACACATTTCCAGTCATAAATCAAGAACTACCTGTAAAACAGAACATTTTGCATGGATGCCAAGCTGAAAATTGCTTGCTAAATGCAATCAAAGCACCATATGATGGAAGTGAAGCATGCATGAAATAAATGCATGTATGTATGTATAATTATATATATGCACCAAGCAAGCTGCCTAGGTAGGTAATTCAACTTTGCATATCAGAGTGCTTTTGAGCAGAAATATTACTAGAATGTGACAGTTTTATCAGAATGAAGAAAACGAATGTTATTATGAAAACTCCATGTCTTCCATACACAAGTAAAACATCGCAACACACATACAAAAGGTCAGGGGCTTGTATCATGAAAGTCATTTTGCTATTTGCCTTTTATCCTTTGCATAGATAGTGATGCTATTGAGAGGGCTGAGATTTGTTAAACAAATATCTGAGTCTAGTGTTGTGAAGTTTTGGAAAGTAAGTTAACAACCATTTGAACTGAGCTGAATGAAAGTGAGATTTGATAACAGCAAAGCTTTTGGAAAGCCTTCAAATGCAGCCCCAAAGAGCACTTACTACAATAAACCGCACTATCAAAGCACTGGTATCTAAGACTTAAGTTATCTCTGTCCAGTAAAAATTGTAGTTAGCCGTCATTGTGAAAAGGTGGGGGTGGGGGGTCAAGTCTTCAATCTTTTTTTTACCTGTGAGGATCATTGAAGTATCCCTGTGTTGATCTTGAAGGAAACAGGAGTCCCCTTCAGAAAGAGTGGCTTTAGGATTCATACATCATGGTGTGTGCTGTGTTTTGATGAATAGGCTACTGTTGCTTAATAATGGTAAAAATAGACTAGTTTTATGAACATCAGCTAAAATCATTTTATAAAGGCATAATTAAACAAAAAAAAGTTTTGTTATAGTATGCTTTGGGGAATTGATCTTCAATCAGTGGAGAGAAAGAAAATAAGAGAAAAAAGGAGAGAAGAAAAAAGAGAAGGGAGAAAGATAAAGAAAGAGAAAATAAATAAAAATAAAGAGATTTACCATTTTATGACCTTTCTTTCCACAGTTGTTAAGTGAATCACTGTAGTTGTTAAGTTAGTAACACAGATATTAAGTGAATCCAGGGGCGGGCTGCTAGGGGTTCGCCTGAGTTCGGGAGAATCCATAGCTAACATGGCTGGTTTGGAGAACCTCTGAATCCCACCCCTGGTTGGCCCTGCCCACCCCGCCCCTCCCAAGAGGCTCCACGTGATTCGTTTTGGATGCGAGGTAAGTGCAGGGCCCGCG